GATCTAAGTGTAGACTTTAAAAGTAATAATTCATTTACAGACAATTAACAATAAACAAGACATGAGTATTTTTTCTTTACAATAATTACACTGAAAATGTCACAAACAATTAAAGTGTACCTGTTATGACTGCAATAGCTTATAACACAATGAATGTGTAATTTATCATTTTATATATATATATATATATATATATATATATATATATATATATATATATATATATACATATAGTTCTTGAATTTTACAGCATTTGAAAACCTCAAAAGGAAAGAACAATAAACAATAATAGTGCAGTATGTTAAAAGTATTATAATAATGTATAAATAAAATACACTGTGAGTGAAGAGCAAACTCACACTTTACCGAGCTGCTAGGAGCTCTGCCGTATAGCGCCTGGACGGTACAATCCCCCTCTTAGGATCTGAATATACCGGGAGGTCCAAATTCAGCGGTCATATATATGAGGAAAAAACAAAAGATACAGACCAATGGTACAGTATCATAAGCTAGAAATAATATAGAAAAATGTAGGTATCCTACTTACAGTATCCAGAGCAATGACTTGCTCTGGTGATGACAGCTTATGGTGGTATAATCCCCACCAAAGGATATAGCAGGAAAACAGCAGCACCAGAAGATATGTAGAAGCCAAGGGATTTGAAAAAAAAGCGGATTTATTAATAAAAAATATATTAAAATATATATAGATAAAAGTATATAAAAAACATATACTATAACTTCAAATCCTATCCTTGACGCGTTTCGCCCGGGTATGGGCTTTTTCAAAAGAGAGGATGTCCTTGGCGTTCCGCCCGGTTTATATAGGGATGTTGATTCTTCAATGATGACTGGTGTGGTGCTGTTCTTCCCCAGTGAAATGGCTACCTCTCTTACTTTCAATCACTTCAGGTACCCCGTATCTCCATAGCCAAACCCACCTAGTTGGTAGCAAACCTTAGCAATACAAGAGAGCAGGCAATACATTACACAGTACACACACACACTATAAACAATTACATTACACACACCCTGCACCTATAATGGGTACAGGGTGACTAAAACATAAGATAAATAAAGCAGCCTACATAAATAGTCTGTCTGAAGGTAAAATAGGGGCTTTAAAGGCAAATACATCAAAGAGTCATAGTCACAGGGGAGGAGGCTGGCAAGCAGGCCTCTCCAGTACCAAGTGGCGAAGGGCACTTCGTCACACCCAGGTTTATTGTTTGCTGTTTATTTATTTTGACCATTTGGTCTTATTTATATGGTACTGTTCTCAGCCCTTAACTCCTCCTTTTTTTTTTTTCCAAACACCTTGCACCCTTGGAGATGAGAGATGTACTTACCCACGTGCACTTTTTCCCAGTGAAGAAAAAGCTGTACCGTGCCTGCAGGAATGGAAGTCTCTCGGATCACTACCAAGACTTGAAAATCTTTGCTGACCTCTCAGCACCTAGACTTCAGGGGACACTCCAGGCACCCAGACCACTTCTGCCCATTGGAGTGGTCTGGGTGCCAACTCCCACCACCCTTAATCCTGCAAGTGTAATTATTGCAGTTTTTATGAACAGCAATTATTTTATAAACTTCAATAATTACCTTGTAGGGTTAAGTCCGCCTCAGATTTCCGTGTTCTTAGAACACGAAAAGTGTTTAAACGACACTGGACTTCCTCACGCTATTCATGAGGATCTCCAGCATTGCTAAAATCCCCATAGGAAAGCATAGACAGTCCACGGGGGAGAAGCATGGGCGGAGCCTGACCCTGCACCAAGGGACATCGGCGCTGGATTCAGGTAATTAGCTGAAGGGGTTTTAACCCCTTAAGCAACATGGGATGGGGGTGGGAGGGAGAGGGGCACTGCAGGGTCCTGCAGTGCCAGGAAAACAGATATGTTAGCATCCCTTTCAGTTTCACAAGATTCTAGCTCCAATATAGATGGGGATACCCCGCCAAGTTGTTGGTACATCGGCAAGGTAACATCTGCCCTATCACAACCACAAAGATTGGCATGACAAAAAACTACAAGAATGGGGAATTCCAACTCCAACCAGGACCCGAACAAAGCAAAATAGAGTCCACAGGATGTCACCTGTACCTATGAATGAGAGACTAATATGCTAAAAAAGCAAATCTTGCTGAGGGTAAGCTTATGGTAGAAGACATCCGTGAGTACGGTATCCCTTTGGGTGATAAGCTAACATTATGTTTTATTTCTGTTACTGTTGCAAATTTATTTCTAATTTGTTATGCCTACCTTTATATACTGACCTAAGTTATGGCAAGTTCACAACTCTGCCTAAAAAGATGGGGTGACAGATCAACTTTAGCGCATAACCGCACATCACTAGACCATATCCGTAGGTCGCCCCCACAGCATAAAAAAAAATAATATCAAAGGTATGCTAATTTTTGCCAGTTTAATTACACTATGAAACAATGCTAATCAGCTTAGTGTAAGTTCCTCCACGATCGTACATCCAGCTTATGGACTTAGCTCAACGGCGTGCCACTATGAGCTATGTTTTGGTTACTCCAAATACCCCCCTCCCTTGAAATCCCAACTTCTGACCCCTCCACTCTATCTTATTCTTCTTTAAAAACAGATACAATTCATCCCAAACTCTACACCATGAAGCACTGAAAGTGCCAATGGGTACATAGCATCCAAATGGGGTCCCGGAATATTCACTATACCGGGTTAGCATTCCCTATACCTGAGAGTTTAGCCCTCAGAGGGAGAGCTGCCCTGCTCCTAGTACCACATCTGTTCAAAAACGAGTTGAACAAACACACTCACGCATGAGATGTTTTATACATACCTATTATGAAAATATTGACAAACAATGTTAAAATGTTGAATTCCCCAAGCAAGCAGAGGCTTCTACTCCAGGAACTAAGAAAGTTGCATGAAGACATAGCCAGTACATAGGAGACTCCTCTCACGAAACAACAAACTCCCTCTTTGTTTAATAAATACTTCCCTACCTAATTCCATGCCCTCTCAGACAACAAAATGAAAGGGGTTTCAATCTTCTTACACAAATATCTACCGGTAACATTGCATTACACATATGTAGATCCAAATGGTAGATTTGTCATTCTGGTAGGACTGTTCAACTCTGTATCTCATGCCGTAATCTCCACTTATTTTTCTAATACTGATTCTCACAACTACCTCCAGTCACTACTTCACAGACTGGACAAAGTTAAACTAGGGGGCTTAATACTGTGCGGAGACTTCAACTTTATAAAATCCTCATCGTTACACTCCTCTGCCTAACCCACTAGGCACAGAAAGAAACAACTCACTTCAACATTCAAGTGTCACATCCTGTTCTTGCTGCGGATCATTCTGGCAATGGCTTCTGGTATCCAGTACTCTTTTTACAATTCTTGTTTAGTTTTTCTTGTTTTTTCTGGTTTTCTATTCTATATCTGTTTTTTTTTTATGCTGGGTTTTCCGGGTTCATTCCTGTATTGCGTTCCTGGAATTCCCAGTCTCTTGGATTCCTTTAAAGTTTGTTTTATATTGCCACACCCATTCCTTTTCCATGATTCCTTTTGTTTCAGTCTGGACCTGCAGCAGTGGTTTCAAGTCCTCTGCCCTTTCTTGCAGGTAAGTGCTATATGTGATTTATTATGGTTCTTTTAGTGAACTTTAGGCAGAGTAGGACGTGCCGAATATGGGGTACATTGGCGTTGTGGCAGGCTTATGCAATGTATGATCATATAATGTAACTAAATCCCCATAGTTTTCACATATAGTACTTAGTTTTGTCTCCTCTTGTTTTGCCTATTATATCTTGTCTTGTTTTATTTTTGTATTCCCAGTCCATGTACAGTCCTGTCCTGTCCTGCCCCTGCTCTGTTAATGTTTCCCTTATGTATTGTGTACATGTTCTGGGTTCTGCTTCCTATCCTTCTCTGTTTCTGGGTCCTTCTCTGTTTCTGGGTTCTACTAGTTCTGTCTTGTTTTCATGTTTGGTGCATATCCTAGCCTTGCCTTGTTTCTCTACTGGATACATTCCTGCTGCAGAGCCTCCCTATTCAGCTCCTGGGAGGTCTGCTTATTTCCAAGCTCTTAGTTCCTGGGATCCGTTATAGCTGCATCAGGGTCCTGGTATGTGGCCGCACAAATGTTGGTGCTCAACACCAGGGGGCGTGTAGTTATCCTGCACCAGACCCTCCTAATCCACTTCCTGGTCACCAGACCGCCACCCTGACAGCAAGAGGATAGACAGACTGATATCTTTAGATGGCCTTTTTGATGGTTGGAGGACTCTCCAACCATCAGAGAGAGACTACACGTTTCACGCCAAGGTACATAACACCTACCTTACCTTACACTCCCAGAAACAACAATTCTGAAGCTCTGCATTTAACAGTGTGAAAGAATTTACTTTGATCCAAGCTAATAGGTGTCATATTAGACTCAGGAAATGCTTAATGCTTAAAACAACACTTAAGACCATATATGTCTAGTTCCGGAGGCAGATAGCCCCCACCTGAGCTGTCTCTCCTAAATCAGTCTGTTCCTTCTCTTTCCCAGAATTTATCTGTTATATGTACATGATGTTCATCCCTATGTCTTATCTGTCCTCCCTTCACCCTTTCACTCCCTTCCTACTACTGTTCTAAGAGTATTTGCACGTATGCACTTACTTTTTAATGTATAAAAACACAACTGGGAGGTGGAGCCTGACTGTGCAGAAAATGGCAGCATAATCCACGAGCTCTGCCAAGACCCAGCCTAATCCACAGCCATCTACAGCAACTGAGCCCCAAAATCCCCCTTACTCCTCACCCTAATACAGACCAAGACCTGATGGGCGGCGGGAAGAAATCAAGGAACTCGATGGTAGCTCCCATATTCCACACTAGGCCAGAGAAAGCACAGACACCATCTTCCCACCATCCACAGTCCGACTCTGACTCGGACCTGAGTAATACAGTGCCCGGGGAAAGGACAGACGCTCCCCTCACACGACGAGACATGAGAGGATTCCTGGCGGAATTCAAAAAATCTGTCACAAAGGAGTTAGACAAACTCTTAATCCCGATACAGGAAGGCATGGCAGACCTCATGGCCTGGGCCCAGGAGACTAAACACAAAATGGAGGAGATAGCGGAGGCAGTGAACTCACATGACACTGACCTGCAAGAGCTCCGGGAACAACTGCAACTCATGGAAGAAGCAAAAGAAGACCTCAGCAACAGGACCTGCTGGAACAACATCCGGGTGAGGGGCCTACTGGAATCGGTGTCCACTCTCATGACAGTGTTCCAGACCCTCCTACCAGCAGCAACAGTGGTGGATCTCCTCATGGACCGTGCCTATCAAGCCCTGCGAGCCCCCAGCGTGAACCAAACGCTCCCATAGGATGTATTAGTGCGGATGCATTATTTCCACGTTAGAGACCTCCTGATGGGAGCAGCCAGGCAGACCCCTACCGAATTTGAGGGAGCACAGATCCAACTATATCAAGATCTGGCGCCTGCCATGCTTAGAAGACGGAGGGAACTGGCCCACTAACTCAGCACCTCACTTACCACGGCTTGCGGTACGCATGGGGTCACCCCTTCAAACTAATAGTACGCAAAGAAGGCAGATTCCTCACCATCTCGCACCCTGCAGAGGACGCAGACCTACTGGAAAAACTGGGCCTCCCACTAGTCAACCTACCTGCACAAGACCTGCCCTCCACAAGACCGGAACACAGACGCCTAATAAGAGCACCGGACCGCCAGCCAGCCGACTTCCAAGAAATGCATGCCTCGCAATGCACCTAAAGACCCCCATAGACCAGGAGCCCAGGAACTAGAGACAAAGAACGACGGGACAACCCACCCAGAATACACCAACGAAAGAACCCAGACAAGAACACATGGACAGAGAACAGAATGAACTGCGCTAATATATCAACTCACTGCTTAGGCCGCACCAAGTGGCAACTACCAGAACTGCTTTACCTACCTCCCCAGGCCAAGCGACACGAACACAAGTTACATAGTTACATAGCTGAAAAGAGACTTGCGTCCATCAAGTTCAGCCTTCCTCACATATGTTTTTGCTGTTGATCCAAAAGAAGGCAAAAAACCCAGTCTGAAGCGCTTCCAATTTTGCAACAAACTAGGAAAAAAATTCCTTCTTGACCCCAAAATAGCAGTCAGATGTCTCCTTGGATCAAGCAGCTATTACCCCACTAATTAGAAATTATATCCCTGTATGTTATGTTTTTGCAAGTATTTATCCAGTTGCAGCTTAAACATTTGCATAGACTCTGACAAAACCACCTCTTCAGGCAAATAATTCCATATCCTTATTGCTCTTACTGTAAAAAAAAAACTTTTCTTTGCCTTAGATGAAATCTCCTTTCTTCAAGCCTAAATGTGTGACCTTGTGTCCTATGTATAGCCCTGTTTATGAATAGATTTCCAGATAATGGTTTGTACTGGCCCCGAATATATTTGTATAATGCTATCATATCTCCTCTCAGGCGCCATTTTTCCAAACGCAAGATGACTCGCACTAAGGTGCTGCTCATAGAACGATCAGAGACTGCCTCACCGCATACCGACCAGGCCTGGGAGGCAATGGACAGCGCACGGACTACTGCTAGAAGGCTCAGAGGGTAATGCTGGGTAACCTCCGGCGCCTGCAAATGCACCACACTGGACCCACATTCAGCTGACTAACCTAAAAGACACCAGACTGCAGGCACTCGACCAAGTGAGACTACACTACACCCCTGACTTACCGGCACACACACCAGTAAAGAGCACTGACGGACAGACACACCAACACAACGAACAGACATAACAGTACAGAAAAGACAGCCACCAGCGGGCCACATAGGACACCACATAACTCCAGCGTCACAAAGACTGCAGATGCAGCCGAGGAACCCAAAGGTACCTGGTGAAACGCTCATCATAGGCCAATTCAGAATATGATGAGGCCCACCAAGACATAGAACCCTGACAGGGACACACACAAGGCCGGGGCCAGGGAAGGACAGCCAAGGGGCAGAGACACACAGAGCTAGAACGGGGAGCACCAATAGATGGGGGCAAAAAACACACAGGATACACATAAAGCGGATAAGCCCCAAACGGTTCCTCCACATCAACCAGCACATCCCTGTGAGAAATAGACATCAGAAAGGGGCAAGCAGGTACTACTTGGGTCCTACTTAGGCACCGGGGTACACAAAAGCAACACGGACCAAGAGACATTTAGGATACAGACATGAACTAAGGAAACGGTTACCACCGAGAGGGCACCTGACATGAAAAGACACGAACGCAATGACCACCAAGATAGACTGCCCTCCTAGAGGGACCGACAAACAGTGACTAATGTTAATGTGAACTTGTAAATTGCGAAAGGTACATCAACATGTCTCAACCTGCTCATGTGCCCACAACTACTAAGAGATGTATTGCTGAGAGGAATGGGGACCAGGACAATTCAGGGGAAGCTGATAGAAACCATGTCAAGATGAAGCATCATTGTCAATGTTAATGTGTACATTATTCCTCAAACCTCTGACAGGTAAAGCACCCAAATGGACAGCCACACTCTCTCTTTATCGGGGACTACCCCGATAAACTCGCAGCAAAACGGAGAAGGACAGAGTAGGTCCCCGTGAATAGCACAACAGTGAGACCCACACAGGCCCACAACAATGGGAGCCATGGAACCCTAACACCGCTAACCACGGCAGGCAGACCCTAGTAAGGACAAGCAACACAGATGACAAGAACGTACAACACGGACACGGCACAGACACAGTGACACACAGCTAGATGGTACAGTACCCAACTAGGCAGCATAGCTGCGAACAGAGACTGCAAACAACTGATCTAATAACCTAAAGCACACCTGGAAGACAAATTAATTAATACATTAATACATTAATACAGAAACGCGTTAAGGGACCGGGTCAGGGAAATCACGCGCCCACACAAAACCGGGGCTGCAGTACAGACCGACGACTACAACACCTGTACCACACGCACTAAAACACCGCCCTAAGCATGGCAACCGCCTCAAACTCAATGGAGCAAGGACGACTGGGAGTTGTCTGGTAAACCTAGGGTTCCCGCAGACACAATAACGTTAAACAAGTTATAAAGCTTCAAAGTTACTGTAACATGCAGGAAGGCTGCGCACACAACACCACACATGACACCTACAAAGGCACACGCCGCCCAGGCCGCTCCCCCCTCTAACAACGCCACACATCCCACCTTTACCCACCTCCCCTCCCACACCCCCCTTACCCTCCCCCCCTGGATTCAGTCAAGTGAACCACAGGAATGGGCGGGTCGCAGGCAATCACTGCTAGGACCTGCACACACTTCTTTCACCCCATGACAACTGAACTCACTACACAATCCTACTTGGGAAGATGGGAGGCCCCCGCCTACACAACGACTGGCCAGATAGATAAGCCCAGTTCGTAACCTACCCACAGCCCTTGGGGTGCCCCGCCTCGCGTGCGCGTCCGTGCAGAGGCCGGCACGAAAACACCCCTCACTACCCCTCCCTACCCTCTCCCCACCCCGGAAAACCGAGAACATCATAGTGTAAGCCCCCTCCACACCCCACTCGTTCAACACACACTATACAACCTACTCCAACTGCACAGCCCAAGGCTCGGAGGGAGACGGCCCACGTCAAGACATGGTGCCACTAGCCCGCGACCTACGAATTACCTCCATCAATGCGACAGGACTTAATGTCCCAGGCAAATGCCATGGCATCCTCAGATGGGCAAACCAAACAGGCGCAGACATCATCTTGATCCAAGAGACGCACTTTACGGACCAAATACAATTCCGCCTAGTCAACGCAGAGAAGGCTTTTGACCGCCTACTTTGGCCATACCTATTCACAGTCCTTTGACACATAGAATTCCCCACAGAATTTCTCAACCTCCTGACCGCGCTCTATGACCGCCCAAAGACTCGACTTCTACTGCCGAACATTGAGGCACAAACATTCTCAATCGCAAACGGCACTAGACAGGGCAGCCCCCTCTCCCCTCTACTCTTTGACATCTCTCTAGAACCCTTCCTGCAAGCAATACACACACACCCAGCAACCCAAGGAGTACGGAACAGACAAGAAACTTACACAGTCGGGGCATACACCACCAACAGCCACGTAGTATGACAAAACAGGCATACATAGACCACCTGGCAATAACAACAGCCATCAGCTCAAGGTCGTGAAACGTAGCAAATAAAATGAACACTTTCAACTCTGCGCATTAAGTAACAGTACAAACTGGGGAAAGATGCACCACGGGGGGCGGGCAAAAGTGCACCAGAAACACTTGACGCACAACACAGGCACACCCGGATCCCCGAGGGGGACAAGTAGACAACGCCCCGGGCAACACCAAATGAACACTATAGAGGGCGACCAGAGGAGAGACCAGATGCTGCGAGACCATAGAGGGTTAAAGGCTTGGCATACTACCCAAATACAACCAATTGTGGCCATTTCTCTTTATCTTTACCTTCATCTCAATCTTTCTTTACAACCAATTGACTGAAAATGCATAATCCATTTGCCTTGTTACGTGTTGTTGTACAATTAAAAAAACTACTAAAATAAAGAATATATAAAAAAAAAAAACACAACTGACAAAATAAAGGTCAGAGGCTTATTTTGATAACCAACACAAGTCTGGTGTCTAATTCACGCTTCTCCAAGTGTACTTGACACTATTTGGGTTCCCCTAAATATAAGATCAAATTGGATCTATATCAATTGGTGCCATGACCCCGGGATCTGACGGTCGAAAGACTCGAAAACAAGCTTACAGGTTGACGTCCCTCTGACAGCGAAATCAGCTGCAGCAAGGGTAAGGAAAACTTTTTTTCTACCTATATCAATTTCGCTCTCAGGTCCATGTCCTACTGGTCTGTTTAGGTAAGGAATGACTTAAAAAAGTCAGATCCAAAGAACTGTTTTAAGAGTTATATTATATTCAGGTGGATGTTGTTATGTCTTGTTAAAGGAACCTTGAGATAGTGGAATATATATGTGGGTTTTATTGTTTTTATTGTTTTCCTTGTCATTTTTTTTTATAATTCGAGTTAGAATCCTCCAGGGCAGATCTCCTGATCTGTGTTTAGAATAACACAGACAAGACTGTGAAAATTACAATGCAGTGGTCCTAAGTGTTTTGCACTGTTTGTACAGTTTGTCTTGTGTAAAGAAGCAATTAACCCTTGCAAGTTTTAAGATGGGTAGGTCTCAGGAGGGGTTTACAGCTTTGACTATAGTCAAGCATCACAAAGGACAAGGAGCTATTAAGAAGATTAAAAAGTTACTTAGGAAAGCTGGCATGCCCTCAAAGGGCA